TTTTTTTTTGTCTTCCTACATCTTGTTTTATGTATAGTCAAATAAAAATAAGCAATTTAAAACTAAAAAAGCAATAAAAAATTTGATTCCTTTACTCTACGCCAGTTCAGGACTCAAAACGTAAGAATAATTAATGATTTGAGGAACTACACTTATGACTTCACGTCATTTTTTATTCTATTCTCTAAGTAACGACAAAACATTTTCTGTGGCATAAATATTTTAACACCTATCTCATATTATTACTTCTAATCTTTGTAAAAATCGCAGAGAATATTTAATTAAAGCCGCCTAAAAAAGAACGATATACTTGTGCAACTCAGTCAGCAATGTACAGTTAAAAAGTGATTTTATCAGCACATAAAGGTAACAGAGGTCAAATACAAAATTTAGCCAATTGTATTCACTCAGTCGCTGACTGTTTTTAATACCCTGGTGCTGTTCTTGGGAGTGGGCAGTGGCTACAACTGCCGGGTTTCCCCCGAATTCCATTTGATCCTCGTGGACCTACCGAACCATGACTACCAGGATTTCCTTTTTTGCCCCGATCACCCATAGGTCCTGGTGCTCCTCTCAAACTCTTGCCTGGTTGTCCGTCCGGACCTTGTTTCCCTTTAGGACCTGGTAAACCAGGTGGGCCCATTTCACCGTAAAAATCGCCTAAAAGTAAAGCGTTGTTTGAAATCATTTAGAGATTCCTGTATCTCAGATGTTCTTAAAAAACTTTCTAACAGTTTCTTTGACTTAAAACTGCCGAAAGATACCAAAATATATTTAACAAATCATATTTTGAACAAACTATTTTTGACTTCTAAATATTACCTTTACGAACGACTCCTGAAGGTCCACGTGGACCTCTTGGACCCACTTTGCCAGCCGGACCTTTGTCACCAACTGGTCCGGGAGGACCTGGTGGGCCTCGTTTACTGGTCGAATTTACACCTTGAGGTCCAGGAAGACCCGGTTTACCAGGCGGTCCTTTAGGGCCCTCCTTGCCTGGAGGACCTGCTACTCCCGGAGTGCATACATAACAGGGCTCTTTTGAAGCAGACAAAACATGTGGAGCATCTTTTCCAGGTGCTCCATTTTTTCCTGGATTTCCATCTTTGCCTTAAAGCTTTTTAATAAAATCATACAGTAGAAACAGCCATTAAAATTACTGAAAATTGCTTAGCCTATGCAATTCCGTCCTAAAGACAAAAATACTTGTAGAAAATTTTGCTAGATTATTAAAGTCCTCATGCTTACCTGGTTCACCTTCTTTTCCAGGAGGACCTGCAGGACCGGGAAGACCAAATTGACACGAACAATATTCCTCGGCAAACTCATCAGGCCTATTCCAAAATTCATTAAAATCGGTGTTATCAAATGAAGCATCAGGCGAACTTGGTAAATCAGAAGAATGTTCAGAATGGAAATCAAATCTTTTTGGTTCCGGAGTAGGTCTTCGAATATAGTGTATTTCTTGAGGAACACTCTCCACAAAAGCTAGAAGTTTCTCATTGTAATGTTTACCCATAACATAGATCACATAAAATTAGAAGAAAAATGGCAAATGGCCTCTTTTATAGAGAATAAAGTAACTTAAATCCTTTGATTATGTTCAATGCAGATACGCCTTATAAGCTGTCAAAATTAATTTGAAAGTGGTATGCTACACTTCACTATCAACCAGTGAGCATAATGAAGTTTTGATCAAATTAATTATAAAATACCTTATAAAGCTTAAACTATGCGTTGACAACGTTTTTCTGTCAAGAGCTGTACGTTTTTCAATAATAAATCTTAATATCATTAAAACCAACCATCTTGAAAATAGGAGTTTTCTACTGCTGGGTTAATTGACGATTTCGGTCTTTGGCCCCGCGAAAAGCCTTCGGAAGCTTGAGAGATTAAAGTTGCGGGGTAAACAGAAGGGCGATGTGCTGTGTAACTATTTGTGTACCTATCCGTATATCCAGACGAATACTGTCGTCGAATTCGCTTCCCTCTAGCACTGGTACCATTTGCAAATTGAGATGAGAAGTGGATAACGGTTTGCGCCTACACAGGTAAATTCAGATCAGTTGATTAATAAACAATGAATTTTAGACGAAAGTGTACATTAAATTTCTACAGTGGGATAAAATATCTTTAATCATAAATCAGTTAGAATTATGGCAGTCGGTATATACTGTAGTTATATTTGAAAAATGTTTTTTTTACAGTATTAAATAGATTTTGAATTTTACTATATTGAACACAAAACAGTAATAAATAATTTTTAAAACAGCTATTTTCACCTATTATCAAAAAAATAAAATTACTTTCTCTAAAAAATTTCCTTTTAAAACTACTTCCACTCAAAGCTTAACACTAAAATTTCTAACGCAGTCCGATTCTGAGTTAATTTTTATACTCGCATACAGTAATTTCAGATACTGTTCTATCTGTTCATTTCACCGAAAGTACAACCGTGAATAATCGCTAAAAGCAAAATGAAACGTATGAAAACAGCAACCTTCTCAAGTTGTTCCAACAATCCATATAAATTATTTTTACAAAAATTGACTTCGTAGTCAAGTGTCGCGTGAACATTCTGAACATAGACGTACAACAGCGGAACTACAACGCTGGCCAAGACTACAGAAGCTGTGCCGACAACTGTTCCAATAACTGCCAATTTCTTTTCAGTTCCCAAATCCCATTTGTTAGAACTCTCTTTGCCGCTTTTACTCGTCAAGTCTCCCCATTCTTTGAACATCTGGAACGACTTTCAAACTGAGAGTCCAGATTTAATAAAAAAATTTCGTTTATTCAAAACTTTGTAAACTGATGGTGTTGTCTATGAGCTTTCTTTATTTGCGTTTTGTAATATTTATAACCATTAAAGGCAAATGATGGGTGTCAATAAAAAAAAATAGAAGTTACTTGAAAACAACAAATCTAAAAACCCTTTTTTTTTTGAAGTTTTAAGTTTTTTGCTTCAAAAACAGCTCAAAGACTGAAAGCAATTTTTTTCAGTTCAAAGCGTATAAAAATAGAGTTCTGCAGTAAGGAAATTAAAGCAAGTGGTAGAAATAACGGAGCCTTGGCGATGCAGACAGTAATAAGAAACGAAAACTAAAAACTGATCCGTTATTATGTGTGTTTATATACGGTTATATGAAAGAAATCCGCGGTAACAGCAGGGGTCAGATTAGAACTCCGGAAAATTGTTTGACAAACAACAGAAGTCCCCCTCAGCGTTCGATAGCACCTTTAACGGAACAAATTGTGCTGATCTTTATACCACTGTGGTTTTAAGAAAGGACTTTTTTAAACTCTGCGCGGTAACAAAAGTAATCTTACTGTTTTCAAAGATTATCTGCAGATTGTTTATTTCGTTTGGTTTCGTCCATAACGATCATTTCAACGAGCAACAGGTTTCTTCGTTCGTATAAATCGTCTCAAAAGAGCAATCCGTTTAATTGAAGATGTGACATCCTGGTAGCAAACCCAACTAAATCCAAGTAAAGATGCCCGGATCTTAATAAATTCTTCATAAGTTCCGTATTCAACGGATTAAAATCAAAAAACAAGAAATTTATTATGAACAGTTACCTGCTGCAAAACTCTGCAAAAAGTTTTTAGAGAACGAAGTTCTGCAAATTTAGAAATGCAGTAAGTATATTCTCCACTTACTAATACTTGAAACCCTTAATTCATTTGTATTCAAAACCCACTGTCCGTCAAGGAAAGAAATCCAACTTGTCTTTGTCTGATTCCCACTTATTTATGTAGAGAAACTTGTAAACGACTGCACTGAACTCCTTTATTTACAACAATTCAACTATACCAATTGGAAGGTAACATAAAATACTTTGATCGTAAATTTTGCAATTAAAGCAACAAATAATTGAAAACTT